AGAGAGAGAGAGAGAGAGAGAGAGAGAGAGAGAGAGAGAGAGAGAGAGAGAGAGAGAGAGAGAGAGAGAGAGAGAGTCGGGGCAGAGGAACTGCAGGGCTTGCACATGAGTAGGTGGTGGGGAAGCCAGGCATCTGTTTATCTTCCTGCGAGAGGTCAAAACTGGACGAGTGTAGAGAAAGAAAATGTAGTGATTGTGCAAGTCATGAACACAGTTACATTAATGAACTGTGTGCGCTGTGCGCTGACAACTTGACGGCCATAGGTGGCGTATTGTAAAGGAGGCATAGCTTCACTGATGCAGAAGTAGGTGGGTATAGAGATACCTAGACACTAGAATGATATATATGCATTGATAGAATCCCTGCACATGCACAAAGGTAATGTATATATGGATATTATATACGTATGTATGAGGTGGATAATTAGGGCCACCTGCTTTTCTCATTGCAGGTAGCAATGACCAGTGGTTAGAAGAGGGAGGGGGAGGAGAGGGGAGAACAAGGCTGGGCTTTGTAGCTCTTCTCTATCCCTAGTGGCACTGGAATTAGCAATAGATTATAGACTTGAATAGAGGGAATTTGAACTACTACTACTACTTTTCTGGAAATTCAGTGAAATTAAACTCGATTTTTTCGTTCTGCGAATTTGACGGAGTATGTAGCAACACACATAGGGTGTCGCTGCATTACTCTCCACATGCTCAAAAGACAAAAAATATGGCATTGTATCTGTCCTTGTTCTAGCAGAGGATTCATTTTCATTTTGCACATTTGGAGAGTAGTGCAGTGAGGCCCATAGTCACTCGTCTCGTTCACAAACACTCCATCAAATTCCCAAATTTAAAAATAGAGTGTTTAGTTCTGGGTGTGTTGCTCCCTCGTCTCTCTGGGAATTTGAACTCGTCTATTTTTTTGGAATTCAATCAATTCAGTTTTGAGAAAGACAAGTAAGCTTGATGTCTTCTCTGTTTTGTAATTGTATGTGTGCACTGGGTGTTTTTTTGGGGGGGGGTGGGGGGAGGAGACCGTTTTTCGATTTGTGCGTGTCATCCTTGCGCAGGGGCCATGCTCATCTTTTTTTTTTTTTTTTTTTCCTCCGTTATTGTTCCAATTTTTAACGGATGTCCTGAAGGACTGTAATTGTGTGTTTGTAACTTGCGCTGCCAAACCGTTTTTAAGTAAATGTCTACCTTATGTTGTCTGGATTTGTGTGTCATCCTAGTGCATTGGCCATGCTAACCTTCTCTGTGTCGTTCCAATTGTGATGTAATGGTTGTCCCGAAGCGACATTCAAACCGTTGATGTCATTTGCGTAGCTGTGTGTTGCCTTTGCAAATATTTATGATTCTCTGAAGAGGAACACCTACTAGAGTGAGCAAAGAAGCGAAAGTAGCTCACATGCGGCAGTGGAAATGTTCGTCTTATAGTTATTAAATTAAAAACTGGTTGAGTCGTTGTTCAAGCAATTAATTTGAAATTGAAATTAAATAGCAGAAGAGCTTGAATCTGGTCAGAACAGAATGCAATAGATTTGGATGGAAGGGGAAGGAGATATGAGGGGACATGGAAACTGTATGTGTGACATGTTTTTTGTGCATGCACGAGATGCGGATGTTGCGGAGTGGGGTCTTAAACCACCTGTACTTTTGATCCTTCTCTTGCCGAGACCGGAAATTCCCTGCACGTCAAAGAAGAAAAAAAACGGTAGAGGCCATTTTGGTCTGGTGGACTGACCTGTGAAACTTGAGGCATGCCACGCAGTACGAGATATTTATAGCCTCCGGCCAAGATTGCAGAAAGTTGTGGAAGATGTACACATGGCCTGCAACGTTGTGTGTTGGCCATTGAGGAACTACTTCACAAACAAATTGTTATACCTTCTGCTACATTAGTCATAATCAGACCATTAGGAAGTCTACTACCGTCTTCACCCGAACAAGACGCCCAGTCATTATTGCTGCATATGGACTGAAAATTGCCCAAAATATGGCTATGACCGGGCGTGCTATTCGGGTGAAGACGGTAGTGCACCAAAGATACTGGTAGAAATTCGCGCAGTTTATCTCTTTATCTGTGAATCGGCCTATGCTTACCTTAGGCTGAAGTTGTGACAGCCAGACCATCAGGAAGTCTATCCGTGCACGAGGATAATGCCACCGCTCCTGGTCTCTCTCTCTCTCTCTCTCTCTCTCTCTCTCTCTCTCTCTCTCTCTCTCTCTCTCTCTCTCTCTCTCTCTCTCTCTCTCCTTGCTGGTCCACAATTAGTTAAGTTGTTTCAATTCAACACATCTTTGCCACAAAGTCGCAGAAAGCATTGAGAATAATACATATGGAAATTAAGGAAAAGGAGGTATTGCAGGAAAGGGGAAGTTTGTGTTCCTATGAAAAGGAATCACTCAATGGAAAAATAGCAAATTATTCTAGTTGATTAAAAATTAAGGAGCTTTTGATGATTAATCTCTCAAAGCCAAAGCAATCTAATATACTTGGAAAAAAACAAAGGCCGTAGGCTCGCTGGCTAGCAAAAAAATCATCGCAACAATCATTTTTTTTTTAAGTTTTTTTTTTTTTTTTTTTTTTTCACACATCGCTGCAGTTTTGGGGTTATGGTTCTACGTGCTTGAAACCCAATTCATCCGTTTTATTTCTCATTTTAGTATTTTACTATTTTGTAATACTTTAGGTTTACTGGCGTTATTAGACCTTGATTTTTTTGCTATGGACGTTTTTGCTATTAGTCTATTATGACTGGACAGTAGAAGTTGCAGAAGAGACCGGCACAAGATAATATTCATAACCAAGTATGGGCATTGTAAGTTCACTGTGACGCTTTTTTATCTGACGAATGCCTCTGCTACTTTGTAGAGATATATTAATGATATTTTCAAATAGTGATTGGATGTGTTCGTAGTTGTGTAGCTTGATGACATTTTGGTTTTGAGTAAGACATTGGAAGAACATAAGAAGCATTTGTCGTAAGTACTGGAGAGACAGGGAAAAAACAAGTTGAAGATTAACCCCTAAAAGTGTGAGTGGGCCAAGAGGGAGGTTCTATTGGTTATATGATTAGTAAAAAGCATGAGTGGGTCGTGAATATATCTTGGTCATATGATTAGTAGAGATGGATTGAGGCCAAGAAGGAGATTGTTACAATTAAGGATTGGCCAAGGTTTACCAACATGGCAGAGCTAAGATCATTCATAATCTGAGTATTATAGTTGCCCTGATGAGACGATTGCTTCTAAAAGCAAGATGGGAATGGGATGGGGAGTGTGGAGAGTCCTTTAAGAATGCAAAGTGGCGGTCGATTCATTATCCGATTCTCAAAGTTGCGGATTCATCTCAGCCATATGTGGTAACAATAAATGTTAGTATGAGATTGTAGTTGTTGTAGCAATAGGAAATAGGTAAGTTAGGTGACATTACCACAGTTTGGCGGCTGCCTCATAAGGTTATTCTATGAATTATCTCATAAGAAATTGTTTGTAGAATATTTATGAGCTTAGTCTGAAAATCCCTGAGTGTTGGATATGCTCTTACATTCTTGCAAACGACTCTACTATGTAACATTATACGTTGTAAAATAGCTCAGTAGAAGGCTCCCTCTGAAGAACTTTGCAGCATCCATTTCTGAAAGCGAACTGTATGCATTGTACAAATGCTTGAAAGTATGGAAACACTCTTTTAGGAAGACATCTCAAGGTATTTTCTAATCATGAGACCTCAAAATCGCTGGTTGGACAGTAAATGTTAACAGTCATTTTGAGGTCTCATATAAATTTGTCGTTAATGCGCATCTTACATATAAATTTGAGAGAGTTAATTAAGCAAAATTATCATAATGATGCAATCTTGAAACAAATCATTCAACAGTTACTAACTTTATGAGTGTTTCAGTATACAGGTTTCATAATGGTATATTTCTTCATTGATCTACATATGTGCAAAGACTATGTGTCTCTAATGTAGAAGAAGTTAAAAGTGAAGTTTAAGTATTGTGGTGACTTAGAAACACATTTTGCATGGAAGACGACTTATACATTGATAGTATACAAGTTCATATGGGCAAGGATGAAGTTTGGTCGCATACAATAGATTAATAATTATCTGATGTATAAAAGAAACAAAAAAGTGTCACAAACATCATTGAGTTTGTTGAAACTTTTGACAATTCTATCAGATTCAGATCAGTCTATTGATTTTATTGCCACATGTGAACAGTAGGATAGGAAAAACACAAATGATGAGTATCATAGATCGATTTAACCAATATGCTATGTTTATACCCCTACTTGCAAAAACAAAAAGTTTGATTTAGTTTGTGACAAGTATTTTCAACATTGGGTGTTAAAAAAGGGACATTCGTCTATGACTTTTAGTAATAGAGGCGGTAGATTCACCGACAAGAAGTGGCGACAACTACGCAAGTTGCATGGTACTAAGTTGAACATGTTGCATATACTTTTCGGATGTATATTAGACCCGATCAGATCGATTGGGATTATTTCTTATACATGGTTACCTATATACCTAGGTTCATGGAAGATACTGAAGGAACTAGGAGGTGTGGATGAAGTATTTTACCTCGTTGATATCCCACTTCATCTTAAGATTTACCCTGTTTTCCATGCTTCCAAAATGGTTTCAAGTAATTGTGTGATATCATAGTCAATCTCTTTTCGTCTAAAACAGTACAAGGCTAAGTTTGTATTTCATCCATCTCAAAATTAGGTTTACTACATAGGAGTTAACTGAGTCAACAACCAAATTAATCGTTGGGTACGGAAAACAATAAAATCGTCTGATAGCTTATAATGATGTATAATGATTAAAACTCGTTCGACTTGGGTGAAATGATTAAAGGTTTTTTTGCAATTGTCTATTTTTTGTCACTTTTGCGAGTTTGTCCTTTGTCAATCTCAACCCAACAAACTGATGTAGGGGCGGTATTGGCTCCAAGAACAAGCGTGTCGAAGGTTGATCAGGAAACAACTCGATTCATAAAATTGGTGCATCTTACAATTTATTTATTTTTTAATTTTACATATTCTAAGGTTCGGAGAAAAGTGGTACGACTATCCGATTGACACACTTATAGCGAGAACAACCATAAATGTTTAGCGATCTAGTACTTTATTGAATAAATAATGGTTTTGTTAGTATGCGTTTGGAGGACAAATTATAGTATTAACAAGTAGAATTGTCTGCCCCTTTGTGTGTATTGTATGTTGTTTGTCTTTGACTGTGAATATATGTACAAGGTCGATGTTGTGGGATGATAAGATGGTAACTATGAACTCTAAGGTGATTTGGTTATTTTAGTTTGAGAAACTACTTGTTGTGAAAAAATATTGTTGATTGATAGTATTTGAAGTTGAAATTGACGTGAAATTATATCTGGTTTAAGTAGTTGGTTTTGTCAAGTTGCGTAGCATGCACGTGCGATACTATTATAGTTAAACCCAATTTTTTGGTAAAAGGGGAAAACCACATGATAGAGAAATACAAAATCCAAAAATAATTAAAATATAACATTATTTTTGGCTCACTGGAAGGGAAGAGTCTGGTAGAACATTTCGCCGCTCTCTCAAAGGATTGGACTTTCGCTCTAAGAAATTAAAGATGTCTTCCATATACAATTATATTACAATCATAGAATATAAAAATTAACTTGTGGTCTACTAAATAACAACTATTGGAGGTGTAAGAGTTCGCTTTCTTGTGTTTGGGTGGGAGAATTATGACATAAAACCTCTAAGGATCAAAAACAACTCGGTTGCTGGCTATAACGCATTAACAATTATATTTTTTCTGTTTTTCTTGTCGATGAGTTACTTGTTACAACCTAAGGTATGAGGATCATTCACTTTGAGCTCACCGAAATTGACCACTCTTCAAGCCTCATCTTGTTTAAGTATTAAGGGGTTTGCATCACGAATTTAGGCACGAAGGGCAGTAAGGTACGGTCGACATGAAGTGAAGACACAAAATATTTTTTCTTCTGACATGATTTGCCTCCTCTGCTGTTACTAGTTGAAGGTAATCCATATTCCCCTAGTATGAAGTTCGGTCGTACACTTTGATAATTAAAAATGAACTTACAACAGCGTTTGAAATCATATTTGTAAGCCGATATATTTTTTTAACAAGTAGCTCGAACTCTTATACTGCTTGTTAGAGGCAACACCCGCATTTATTTTGAACTCAAGCAGATAATGAACATGATCCACTTAAGTTCAAAACAAATACAAGTGTCTATTTACTAGAAAAAATTTTCATTGTCAAAAAAATATTGATTATAATCTGTTTGTACTTAAAACAAATGGAGGTGTTGCCTTGAGCTTCAGATTGATGAACATCATAATGAAAATTTGATTTAAACAACGAGGTATAACCTACATTTGAGACTTACGGAAGGTATTGCCCAACTATGAAATACATCAACAAATTTTATAATCATACATGTAAAAACGTTTTCATTGACATAAGGATTCGATAATTTATTTTTTATAAATGTAATCAGACCAATTTTCACTCATCCTATACAATCATATAATAATATAGTATACATATAAATTATCTTTCTAATAAATCTACGTTTTTTTAAGGTTCATAAAAAATCAAAGCTTGTTGATTGTGATTAAATGATAAATGGGGAACATAATTTTTTTTGCGTGGATTGCCATTTTACCAACAGAGGGAGATCTTTACACAACGAACAAGATTTATTCCTTTCTGGTGAGAAGAAGCGGTCATTGAGGTTACAATATAAGCAAGGATTTTCTCCATCTATAAACTAGTAATCCTTGTTCTTAATTAGATGATGAAAATCTTATATAGATAATTTTTTTTAAATTAAACACAATCTTAAAAACTTTGAATTGTGAGAATAAACAAATTTTATTTGAGTAACTTGAGAGTTAATGTGGTAACAATTCCTCAAAAAAACGAATCGGATGAAAAGTAATTTAGGGTTATGAGAAAGAAACTCAATGTTATTTTTATAATCAAACCATTAAAAAATATACATAAGATTTCATGTAGTTATATATAATATGTTATTTTGCCTTATTTCAGTTTGTCAATGAAAAAAACAAAGGAAACTTTGGATGGGCAAGTTAGACGAAATAAAAATAGAAAAAGATAAATTACGGATTGACCAGACTAAAATCAAATAGATGAAAGACACAGATAGGTTGACGAAATATAATGTTTTAATATTTTATCCAGTAAAATATTTGACTTAGTCTTTAATTTATGAGTTCGATCATCCGTTTAATTAAAATATTTCAAATTTGAAACACTTGTAAATTAAAATCAAATAGATGAAAGATAGAGATAGGTTAACCAAATATAATGTTTAAATATTTAATTCAATAAAAGGTTTGACATAGTTTTTAATTTATGAGTTCGATCATCCGTTTAACTAAAATATCTCAAATTTGAAAGACTTGTAGTAAATAGCTCAATACGTCGAATTACACTATGAAACCTGACTTTAGGAAGAGAAAATGCCTATTTACTAACGAAAACTTCTATGATCCAAAAAATATGAAATTTTTTTTACATCAAATCTTATAAGAACATAAAGTTGTTTTGAACCAATAAATCATGTTAGACGAATTGACATTAACAATAACAGTAATGTTTAGGAAGAAATATCCAGGGAAACATTGTCTGCCCATATAATTATATGAAAGATTTTTAATCAAGTTATGAAAGATAACAAACTAGGAATAAGGAAACGTTGATCGTGTATTGCTGTTATAAAAAAAATGAGGTAAATGACACAAAAAAATTGACAGCCTATCACCTAGGATGCACGAAGCTCTTTGTGAATCTCGTAGAAGGTCCTTAATCAGATTTTGTCAACGTTAGATATATCATTAACAAGATCTCACTAAGCTGAACCAAGAAAATGAGACCATGCAACTTCATTATTTTATCTATAAAAACCATACGATAAAGTGTACTCAAGATTTTATATGACAACAATAGAGTGAACAAATATTGAAAAAAATACGTAAAATTTGTAAAAACTATTTACATGAGTCTCACAATAGTATGTTAATAAACGATGACCCCTCTCAACCTTCTAAGTTGACCAGGTTGTTGAAATAAGGCTACCCACTTGCACTCCTGCTATTTTTCCTTCCCAACCTTAAAGTCGATCGATCACTGAGATAAGGGTACTCGCTTGCACTCATGCTCTTTGAAATGAAAATGTTATTATTAATTGTAAGTACTAACCCAAAGATCGTTTGCATCGAGATAAACATAGATTTTAAGTCTTAGTCCAAATAAAGCTTAATTGCATATGACCTCTTTGCAATAATCCCTAACACCACCGATTATATTAACGACCTCAAAGATGACCTAGATCTATATTCACGTCTGTTTCAGACATCTGTCAATTGGAGGAAATTTACAACCACTGTCTCAAGGGGATTAAATTTAAAATCTAACTAGAGGCTAAAATAACTATAGATTAATGATATGAAAATCTTCAGAGTTCAAATTTCTTTGTAAGACTATATTAAACAACAAAGTTTTATCATCGAAAAGGTATACTTTGAGATTTAATCATTGACGAAAATGTTGGAAATCTCTATGATAAGTACCTTCTTGTCAAACATTATAAGTTTTTTCATAATATGGTTTCCTAATGTAATGTATAAGTTGAACGATAGTTGCTACAAAGAAATCAGGAGGGTATTCAAAATTATTTGTGGATGAATGATTGAGAAGCAGAAAAAACTTTGTAATGAAGATGACATGATGGAAAGTGGTAGAGCAAGGTGATTGTGGTGCTTTGGATATTGATCTAAAAAAAAGAGTGGAAGCTTCTTCAAAGGTGGAGAGTACAAAATTGTCTACAGAGAAGGATTTTTTTCCTATCCCAATGAATATTCGAACTACATAATATTGAACATGAAAAAAGTTTTAAAGGAAGTTGCAATTAAAGTAATCCAAGGATATCAGAGCGACCTTTAGAAAAAGGCTACAAGTTGAATAAAAGACTCTGTGACTTCTACCTAAATCCACGCATGTGGGTCAGGAGAAGTAAAAACGGTAGTCAACCGTTCAAGTTATACAAATATAAAATGAGAGTAGCGTGTAGGATTAAGAGTGTTGAAGAAAGGTAGTACATGCACCATTCGACAAAATGAAGACATCAACAATTGCGACCCAAAGGAACTTCAACAATTTTGGAAGGTGGTGAAATGTGACTCTTACAAAAAGCTCAGGCGGTTGGCGTGGCTGTGAGTCCTTTGGTCCATCGCTATACCAGTCTGGCTGATGGAAAGGAAGGTAGAAGTGGAGGTAAACTGCAAAAGCTATAAACAAGGTAGAGGAAATTACCACGCAAGTGTGGTGAGAGTGTCCTAGGTCTCGAGCAACGAGGTGATGATGGGAAAGGCTATGGCTTCAACACATTGCAAACACAATATAATGATACATAAAATTTACACTAAATGGTCTGTTAGTTAAAGTTGAGTCTTATAAAGAAGGGTTGGGGTCTAAGTCGTAACTATGTGTAGAATGACGATCACGAGATCAGAGTGGAAACAAATGGAACACAACAATTTTTCATAATTAAAAGATTGCGATGGACGCAGTCAAACATGCAATCAGACATGAACTCAAAAGAACGATAGATTGGAGGAGGAAGAGAACTGGATAGCATAAAAGTGTGAAATTTAGTTTTTGTTTTTCGAGCTCCTGGGCCATAGGTTCAGGCATTGCCCTAATTAGGTCTAATAATAGCTCGCCGCAGGTCTCAGCTTGGCTGAACGACATTGCATCCACCGGGAATGAAGCGATGGGCAAAGCCTTGTTATTACGAACAATGGGAAAAGAGAGAGTCGAGGGGAAGGTGGAGGCAGAGGATGTGGTCAGGAGAAGACAGAGCGTCCATCATGCTAGAACACTCAATTAAAGACTACCGTTCCACGCACCCTACAAGCGAGAGAGTCCTTATGCTGTCCAGTTTTTAGATATCATGTGGAGCTGACCGGCATGATGGAGTTCCAGAATTTCATTCATCTGGTTCCATCTGGATTCAAACTCAAGTCTGCATTTCAACAGCTTAAGGATGTACCAACTGAGATAGGCCCATTGGCACATCATGCCGTTTCTTGGCAGTTGCGTTGAGCAAACATGTCAACAGACAAACGACCCACTCAGGGGACATTCACATCACACTACTACCCGTAGGACTCTTTCTACTAAGCTCTGGACGCGATTGCGGTCAGATTCATCCAGATGGGCCGTAATCACAGTCAGATACATCTAGGGAAGTAGTAGTTTGAGTAACGGGTTGGCAGGTCGCTTTTCTTTTTTCCCCAAACATGGGTCAACGCAGGGCAAACAATTTTATTTATTTATTATTATTATTTTTTGGCCAAACAATTTTACGCATGGGCTCCTTCGCATTTATGTTATGTACCTTGTTTCCCTGTCACGCGGTGTATTTCGGTGGATGAATGAGGAGCGGAAACGCTGCCACATACGTGCAGCGCAACTCGATGGGACTTGGGCCCTGGCTCTTCGGTGTTTATGGTAAGAAAATGGGCGAAGGTGGCGCCCGGCTGAGGTGAGCGGTCGGGACCGGTGGTTATCTGCCCCCGCGGGGCGGGGAGAGGATCAGTTCCCGGCCGAGTTGAGAGGTCGCGAATGGTCGCAGTCAGCACTTGCGCGATGGGAGCGGTTGGGACCGGTCGCAAGGAGCACCCTGCTGAAGGGATTGGGCTCTTCACTGACCGGGAAGAGGAGATACCGTGGTCATAGTCAAGATGGGACAGGTCGGGACCGAGGTAGAAGTCGAGGTCCCGAGCCAGATGGCTACGGGGAGGAGGCGAAGACCAAGCGGTAAACTGGAAGACCGGGATCGCGATCAGCACTGGGCTCGGGACGGCGCTGAAAGCAGGTCCCCGCACTTGTCCAGGACGATGAGCTAGCAAGCCACGGACGCGCAGAGAAAGCCTGATGAAACAGTCTGTCACGGTCACACCACACACCTCTTTCAGTGGAGTCGTTGTGTTTGTTAGTGATCACACAACAGGCACCAGACACACATACATAAAAGAGTTCAACCTCGTGATGAGGTGGCGAAGGTTCGATGAAGCAGTCAGGCACAGTCATGCATTTTTTTTGTGCGGTTGTGTGTAGCAAACATGATGACAACACACGTACAGACACAGACACAAAGTAGAAAGATATGCAGGTTGTGAATTGCAAATTGTCTATTATGCAGATCAGCGGGAAGAACAGCTAGTTCCAGGAAGGCGAGAGAGAGAGAGAGAGAGAGAGAGAGAGAGAGAGAGAGAGAGAGAGAGAGAGAGAGAGAGAGAGAGAGAGAGAGAGAGNGAGAGAGAGAGAGAGAGAGAGAGAGAGAGAGAGAGAGAGAGAGAGAGAGAGAGAGGATATTGTGGATGGGATGATGTGGCGAGGGAGGGAATAGAAGTCGGGAGGTGGCAGTGCGGTGAGTGGAATCGCGCCAGAGGATAAAGTTTGACTGTCCGACGTGGCTCCACGTGGCTATGGAGCCGTTGGTGTTTATCGGGTTATACATCGGTGCAATTGGCTTCATTGTTTTTATCATGCTTGTCGGAGATTCACCCACTTTCGAGAATACGCCGGTGCAATACTGTAATCGGTTTCTGACGTCAGGGATCTGCGAGTACAGCGAGTAAGTTGGAGAAGTTGAGCGATCACAGATTGTGAGTTAAGTTCTTTGTTATAAATATATATGCTCTGAAATCTTTGTGACGATATATATATATATGTATTGTGACGATATATATATGTATTGTGACGATATATATATATGTATTGTGACGATATATCTATCTATATATATCTATATAGATCTATATCTATATAACTGTATACATATGAGATGATTATATGTGTGATCATATACAGCGTCAAACGTAAATATTATGGGAAGGGTTTACCGGACAGTTCTGCTAGACGATGTATATGTATGAGACGAAGTGTAAATCTGATTATTTATTTACGTAAATAGTCTGTCACAGCCCCCGTTTTGTTGCTGTTTTGCCCCTTTTTGGGTTGGATTGACACTTCGGTGCTTCAGTACGTTTGTTGTCCTCTTCTCCCTCCCTCTCTGCCGAGACGCCTCCTGATGAGTCACCTACGGTTTATTGGGCAGCTCTGTTTGACGATGTATATATATCTATATCTATATATCTATATATATACATACATATATATATATCCACGTGGGCAGCCTTGTACGCAAAAGGTTCTGAACAGGGGGAGTTGTAAGGAAGAAGATAGAAAAACGAATTCATTTTTTTTCTCTTGTTCTTCCTTTTTCTTTTTCTTTTTTTCGCTTTTGCGCTCTGATATTTATGTGCCGAGAGAGAGAGAGAGAGAGAGAGAGAGAGAGAGAGAGAGAGAGAGAGAGAGAGAG